TGACAAGACTGGCCTTGTTACCAAGATGAGCTGTGTACAGCTGAGAGGCTTGGCAAAGTCCTTGTTTGTAGCAAAATGGTAAATGTTTTTTGGCGTAATGGTTTAACTAAACATTGAATTTGGGTTTTGTGGCTGAAAGGAGGTGTTTAATAACCTAAAAGTAAGGATTTGTTTGGTGACGAGTTTCTAGAGATGACTGGTTTCAGGACTAAGTGGCACGAAGTTCATCTCCTGTAGCAGTCACCAGACTCCTGGCGGCCCTGGGCAAACTTTTAGTATCGGGCCCCTCTTCGCCAGAGATAATGAGAATAATAATCGGACAATGGGGAAAAAAAACATTTTGGGGCCTTCTTTCTGTCCGGGCCCTGGGCGGCTACCTGGTTCGCCCATGCCTGTGTCCAGGTTTGGTCCCTGATGTTCCCGGTGACTCTTAAGCCAGGACTGCCGCTCTCAGCAGAAAGGTTCTCATTCTGGTGTAATTGCAGTCCTCTGCTCCCTACGGGAACTCGGCTGCGGTACGAACTGCAACGTGAATTACCAACCCCCGATTGGCAACGGCAAATTGCACAGTGCAAATTGAGATGCTTTGGGGAGTAAATGAGAGGTTTTTACCCTCCGTTATCTAATGGTGGGAGCTGGTGTTTTATGGTTCGTGTGTGTTCAGTGGTTTGTATTATCCATTTTCTTTTTATTGGTCATTGTTCAAAATCCCTTATTTGAGAGATCAATGCAGAAGGATCCTCTCAGGAAATGGGAACAATGAGTCTTTCTAATGGTGCAGTTAGGCTAAAATTAAGTGTTTCCCTGCCCCTCAAAATGATCAGTTCATAAAATATAATTGTAATGAAATTGTAAATGTCAGGGATTTCTGATAATTTAGGATTAAGTCGAGCTCCTGACTCTTGCAGGCTGAGGCTCCTGATGCCAGACCCATTAACAAAGATGTTGTTTTAGGCTGCAAAGGATTATCCAGAGACCTTGTTATAATTGGGATATGCACTGTCTGCCTAAGAGAATCCTTTATACAGGAACAAAACCAGGCAAAGCCTAGACATGTTCACTAGAAAAAACAGCTCACTATAGTCACACCCCATTTTACATGCACATGCACACGCACCATTCAATACATGCATTAATTTCTCCCGTGTGCAACACTGGCAGGCAGCTTCAGGAGCGCCAGCCGTGTGCCTGCCCCTTACCAAGGGATGCGCTTGCTCTGGCACAGATCCTACTGTGATAACAGTGCTCTCCATCAATGATCCAGGTGGTTTGTTTGTTTTTTCCTGTGAGAGCCCCTGGTTGTCCTGGGTTCTGCTTTTCTCCTACATTGTGTGAGCAGGGGGAGAGGTGGGAGGGAAAAATAAAGCAAAAGATGCTGGTGGTGGCACCCCTGGTGTCCAGGGTGGGGTTCAAGTCCCTGCAGCATCGTTGCTTCCCTTCTCTTCCCCTAACAAATTCCCTGTCTCTGCTTCCTCTCAGGGCCGCTCCGATCCCACACCCCCTGCTCTCTGCTGGCTTTCCCCCTGCTTTCTGCTCTGACCCCCACCCAGCTACCACCAAGCCGCGTCCTCCCCTCTGTGTCCACAATTGTAAGTTCCAGGGAGGGCCCTTCTTTGGAGTCGCTCAGGCCTTTCAGGCAGCCAAAGTCACCGGCAGGGGCTTCTCTTTGTGCCCAGCTGTCACGCTCCATCAAGGGGTTAGTGGCTGCTCCCTTCAGATAGGTTGGAAGGCAGCTAGCGTGCCCAGTAGCCATCCACAAAGCACATCCTTCTGCATTTTAAAGCGGCAAATCTGGAAATACTGGACTAGCCAGGGATCAGTGATTGCTATGGCTCAGTGTGCCTGTGCTAGCCCTCATTCATTTGACCTCCCTAGCGCCGGTCATGAGGGGGGGAATTACTCCCAGGAAAGACTCTGCTCCTCTCCACTTCATTCAGCCTTTGTAGGTATCCGGCCATGGAGAGGCAAAACCCAGACCAGAAATCAGGTCTGCAACACAGACCCGAATGCAGAATCCAGACCAGAAGTTAGGTCTGTAATACAGACCAGAATCTCGACCAAAATCCAGACCAGAAGTCAGGTTTGGGGCACCAGACTTGATTCAGGCGTGTTTGCGTGTTTTGCACATGCTCTGGTGTTGTAATCAGGGACCTGGACAACGCTTTGGTATCCAGGCGCCTCCAAGACAGTGCGAGCCGGCACGTGCGATTCCACGCTGTGGGAATGTGTCATGCCAGCCTCCTGGAAGTGACATGTCCCTGCTCAGATCGGTCTTTCCCCTTGTCTCTCTGGCTGCACCCTCCCTTAGGAACTAGCCATTCGGCTGTGCTTTCCACCGCAATTTGTGGGGATTTTCTTTCGCGTTTTCACCCGCTAGATGGCTCTACCTGTTATCAATTTTGCTGTAGGGTGGGAGTGGTTCTGGCTGGAGGGTCAATTTTTTGCAAGCATTTCTTTGCCTGAATTGCATGCTTGGGAGGCTTTTCATGTGTACATGTTGCAGCCTCCAAAGGGCCCATTTACTCCCAAGTTTGATGCCTGGTGTTGCACCTGAGACACAGCTGGAAAGCCACCTGCATCCTTACACAACTTCTGTGGATGAGAGGTGTATTTTAGGCCTAGCGTGAGGGCAGAGAGGCATCTGCACCACCACAGCAGTGCCCACTCCAGGGCAGGACCCTTTCAGCACAGCCGAGGCTTGTATTTGTACTGGGATAACTGTGCTGGCTAGAAACCTCAATTCTGTTTTAATTTTAAAAGTTCAAGCCTCCAGTGTGGGTCCTACTGGACTCTTTCCATGCACACTTCCACTGCATTTATAACTGTATCAAGGGAAGTGGCTCTCCCGCTCTGTTCAGCATGGGTGAGGCTTCCCCTGGAGTGCTCTGGCCCTGCACTTCAAGAAGGAAGTGGAACGATTGGAAAGAGTCCAGTGTAGTGACGAGAGTGATGAGGAACGACGGAAAGAACTGGGGT